TCAATGAATATCAATATCAGTTTTTGGAATGTTAGAGGTCTGAATAACCCTCTAAAACAAGACAAAGTACTACAAAGAGCGTATCAAAATAAAGTAAATGTATTATATTTGTTGGAAACCCATGTAAAAGTGGAAAATTCATTGGGTTTACTGGAAACTAAATTTGCAAAGTGGAATGTTTGCACAAATTATGAATATGCTCTAAACGAGAGGATTTGGATTCTTTCAAAAAAAGACTTGAACCTTTCAATATGCTATGTTTTTGCTCAATGCATCGTTGTCAAAGGTTATTTCCAAGGTGCCCCTCTGATTATAACTGCAACTTATGGCAGCAACGACGATATTACTCGCAAACTTCTATGGCATCAGCTGCGTGAAATTGATATCAAGTATGGCCATTTCTCTTGGATAATAGGAGGGGACTTCAATATCATTTTTAAGTTGAATGAAACCTTTGATCATGAGTTATTTGGCCCTGTTTCATCTCCAAAAATGAAAGACTTCCAAGATGTCACGCAAGAACTATCTCTACAAGACCATCCTTACGTTGGTCCATTGTTCACATGGAGTAATAAGCATAAAAAATCATTCATTGCAAGGAAACTTGATAGGGTGCTCATCAATTTCTTGTGGGAGAAAGATTTTCAAAACTTATTTGTTGAATTCCTTGCTCCAGGCCCTTCAGACCATTGTATGGCTTTAGTTTGGCTCAACAAAGAGGTGCAAGCAAACATACCCAAACCTTTCAAATTCTTCAATTTCTGGACTCTTCACCCTAGCTTCATACATGAGGTTCAATAGTCTTGACAACCAGCTATTCAAGGTAATCCTATGCAAGTCATTTTCTCCAAACTCAAGCGTCTCAAAGGTTGCCTAAAGAGACTAAATAAAGATTGCTACAGTGATATTTCAATCCGAGTCAAGCAAAAGAAAACATAGTTGGAAATGCAGCAATTATCAACTTTAAGAGGAGATGACGCACTCGAGAAAGAGCTTACTCTACAAAATGAACTCAAATCTCTCGAAGAAGCCGAGCTAATGTTCTTAAAACAAAAGGCAAAAGCTCAATGGTTAAAGGAGGGAGACATATGCACAAAATTTTTCCACTCTGTCGTTGCTGCAAAAACAAACGGGATACAATCAAAGTGCTTGTTGATGATCGAGGAAGAAGGCTTGAATCATTTGACAATATGGCCTCTGAAGTGATTAACTACTTCAAAAGCCTTATTGGCACTGAGGATTCCACTGTAACCAATTGCGACTATACTCTACTTAAAGATTTGTTGCATTATACATTGCTTATTGTAGCTTCATCTGATTTAGTCAAGGGAGTATCTAGAGAGGAGATTAAAACAACATTTTTCAATCAAGGAAATGATAAAGCTCCTGGCCCAGATGGCTACACCCCATACTTTTTCAAAAAAATACTGGAATGTGGTTAGAGACGATGTGGTGGATGCGATTCAATACTTCTTTCAAGAAATTTTATTGTTGTCAGCCTTCAATGCTACAATAATTGCATTGGTACCTAAAGTACCAAATCCAAGTAAAATTCAAGATTTTCGACCAATTTCATGCTGCTATGTTGTCTACAAGACAAATACCAAGATTTTAGTCAACATGTTGACCAATCTGCTCCCATGAATGATAACTTTGAATCAGTCTGCTTTCGTAAAATGACGAAGTATTATTGACAACACTCTCCTTGCTCAAGAATTAGTTAAAGGCTATGGAAGGAAATCTATTTCACCAAGATATTGTATGAAGATTGACCTACGAAAGGTTTTCGACTCTCTCCATTGGGGATTCATTTCCACAATCCTAAGGGCTCTAGAACTTCCAATGACTTTCATCACTTGGATTGAAGCTTGTTACTCAGAAGCAAGATACTCTATCTCTTTCAATGGCAGTCTGATTGGCTACTTCAAGGGTGCAAGGGGTATAAGGCAGGGTGACCCCCTTTCTCCTTTTTTATTTGTCCTCTCAATGAATGTGCTCTCAATACTACTTAATTTAGTTGCGGCACGAGGTATGTTTGGCTACCATCCTAAATGCAAGAAGATTGATCTAACTCACTTAATGTTTGCGGATGATCTCCTTATCTTTTGTAAAGGAAATGTGGAATCTATTATATGAGTCATCAGTGTCCTAGATAAATTCTATGAAATGTCTGGACTACAACTTAATGCAACCAAATGTGAATTTTATGCTATTGGTATCCCAATTAATAATATAGAGACTATACACAGAATCACGGGCTTCACATATGGATACTTGCCTGTGAGATACTTAGGGGTACCTCTAGTAACGAGAAAACTCTTTGAAAAGGATTGTGTAGTCCTCATTGAAAAAATCAAATCCAAGCTCCATCACTCGTCTGGAAAACACTTGTCTTATGCAGTAAGACTCGAACTTATCAGAGCTGTCATATTTAGTATTGCTAACTAATGGTGCAGGCAATTATTTTTACCACAGTCTATTATAAACAGGATTGAGCAACTATGTTCTCATTTTCTCTGAAAAGGTTCTGACACGCTACTGGAGCTAGAGTAAGCTGGAAATTAATTTGCCACTCGAAATCTGAATGAGGGCTAGGCTTAAAGGACCTAAAATCATGGAACAAAGCGTGTATGATTCAGCTCATTAGAAACATCCTAGCAGGAGATGGCTCACTGTGGGTTGCTTGGGTCAAATCCTATGTGTTAAAAGATAAAGACTTCTGGCACTCAGAAGGTGAAGGTGAAACTAATGCTAGTTGGAGTTTTAGAAAACTGCTAAACCTTAAAAGAGAAGAACAAACTATTTTTCTTACAGGAGCAATGACGACTCGAGCAATTTGGAATGAGATTAGAGTAAAGAGAGACAAAGTTAATTAGCATAATCTAATATGGTTCCCTCTACACATACCAAAACACAACATGATTGCTTGGATGTCTATCTTGGACAGACTACCCACTAGGAATAGGCTTAAAAAAATGGGCATTATAACCGATGGCTTATGTGTTCTGTGCAATGAAGATTGGGAGACAAGAGACCACCTATTCCTAGAATGTCCACTGGCAGATTCCCTTTGGAAGGCCATTCTGCATCTCTCCGGATTAAGGTCACCTTCTTCTCTTGGAACAACTTGTTAGCATCGGTTTCTCATGCTTGGAAAGGTAAATCCCTACTTATCACTATTTTAAAACTTGCATGGTGTGCATTTCTCTATGGGAGGAACGAAACAGAAAGTTGTTCAAAGGAAACTCCAAAAAAGCAGCTGAAATTCTTAAAGCTATCAAGGAGATTGTCGGAATTCAACTAAGAGGTTGGAATATTAATAGACTTGATAGTGCTAATATTACTCTTTGTAAGATTGGAGTATTGAATAACCTATACTTTGTTTTGTGAATAGGTTGTTCATGTTCTTAGGTTGATTTTCCATTACTGATTGTTTTATAGCAAAACACTGCTCATTTGAGTAATAAAATTTTTAATTATCCAAAAAAAAAAATGGGTCCGATTAAAAAAAAGAAGAGAATTTGACCTATTTTTAAACCGTCTCTTGAAATACCTGCTAATCTCGCATGTACTTTCGGAGCCCCCGACTCATTCAATCACTTGCTTGTGATTGCAGCCATTCCCCGATTTAGAAGAGTGTTTAGAAATCTTAAGCCCACATCCTTGTTATTTCACGTACGAGTTCTTGAAAGAGGCCTTTAATAATTAAATCAATATTTATAGGACTTTTTCGTTCAAAATATTATCTTTACTTGTACTTAAAGTAAAAAAAATTCTTTTTTTAAAAAATTACATAAATGATATGTAGTAAAAATAAATGTTTAAATTATTATTTTTTTGTTAATCACTTTAAATTTTATATTGATATATAAAAAGTTAAATATTTAAAATAATCATAAATAATAATTTAAATACTTATTTTAATATAAAATAATTTAAAATAAATCATTATTTAGGTTTTTTTTCTTTGATTACACAAATGTTCTTTCGATTATAAGATATTATTTTAATGAGATTTTTTACTATTAAAAGTTATAAAATGATATTCTGACTATAGGATATTATTTTATTAAGACCATAAATTATTAAAAATTGTAAAATAATCATCCGACTATTCATATTTGAGTTGTATTTTGTGAAGACTCTTCATTTATATTATGTAATCCAATCAATGCTTGAAAGCAACGATGGTGCAATAAACAAATTTAAAATATGATTTATCTTATCTCAGTCAGTAAGTTAATATCTAATTAGGGTTTAACATAAAACCAAAACTCGATGGGTTCTAACTCGACCCAACCATATTAAGTTTTTTTTTTTTAAAAAAGTTTATTCATGTTATGTCAAGTTTTTTAGAGGATTTGTTTGGATTAGGTTCAAATTTACGGTGAAAATTTTTTGACTCGACCCAAAAAATAATATAAATACACATTATATATTTAGAAATAATTACAATAATACAAATCTTCATATTATTTTTCAATTAGATCCCTATTTATCTAATAAAATTAATATTATTTCGGATCAGATTCAAGTTTTATCTTAAAATACGAGTTGGGTTTTGAATCAAATGAAGTCGTCCTAAACTCGGGTCGATTCCAGTTTTGGATGAATGATCTATATTTTTAGGATCAGATCATGTTGGCTGAAAACCTGACCCAATTCGACTTATGTTGATCTCTATATCTAACTCAAACGATCATTAAATTTTAACCTAAAATGATAAATTTAAAATATATAAATAATCGAGTGATTATTTTATAACTTTTAATAGTCATCAGACTTGATAAAATAATATTCTATAATAAATCATTTTATAACCGTTAATAACCAGTGACTAAGAAAGCAGCGTCGTATACATGAGGGATCGTTTGCACATTTTACGCATTTGCATTTTGGATTTTTGGGTGGCAACCACGTAATTTGAAACGAACAGCAGCGGCATTTAAAAACCCCGCCAATAAAATATCTAGCTCAGAGAGCTATTAGTCACTAATCAGGCCGGCATATCCCGAAGCTTCCTTCTTCATATCTCCCCACAGTTCCTGAAGATATTTTCTCTCCCCCGAACATCCCCTCCACGGCTCCACCTTTGGAAAATTAAAAATAAACGGTGACAACAACAAAAGAACCGGTGCTTCTGCTTCTTTCTCTCTCTCTTTTTTTTTTGTTAAGCACATTTGATTTTTTGCTTAACTCTTCTTTTTTTGAAAGCATCATGAGTATTTTGTAGTTTTGTTTGCTTGAAGAGAGAGAGGGGGAGAGGAAGTAGAGATAAAGGATTTTGGACGCAGAGATGGATCGGGAGGGAGGATCCCACGGCGGATCTTGTTATTACTCCGTTCTGGGGATTCGTAAGAACGCCTCCTTCTCTGATATACGCACTGCTTATCGTAAACTCGCTCTGGTAATTAGAAACTTCTTGCTTTCATTTGATTCTCTTTTTAGCTTTTTCAATCTTTCTAGTTTAAGCTAAGATGTTCAATTTACGAAATCAAAATTAACTAGCTTAATGCTCAAATTTCTGAAGAAATGGCATCCGGACAGATACGCCAGAAATCCGGTAGTCTCCGGCGAAGCCAAAAGCCGGTTTCAGCAGATCCAAGAAGCTTATTCTGGTAACATTGTTAAATCCATTTTACCTTATTGCTGTTGAATCCGGGTGTTGTAATTATTATTTCCATAATTTTCTATCATTTTCTCTCAGTTCTCTCCGACGAATCTAAGAGATCAATGTATGACGCCGGTCTTTACGATCCCTTGGAAGAAGAAGATGAAGTCGTAAAAATATCTCATTTGTCTCCTTTTATTCTTTTGGAAGTTTTTTTTATCAATGCAAATAAAACGGTGCCGGATCTTCATTGTGCTCAGTGAAAATGTCATTGCATCGGCAACATCAATTCATCGATTCTTTATTTATTCATTAAATTTCGTATGGAGAACGTTCTTTTGTGTTATTTCCATTTTTAGCCCCTAAGTTTTGTAAGATTTGCGAGCAGGACTTCTGTGATTTTATGCAAGAGATGATTTCGATGATGAACAATGTGAAAGATGAGGTTTGCCCTTTAGATCCTAATTATCGAAAGGCTAAATACGTAATCATGGTTTAAACGAGACTGCATTGATATTATATTGTGGGTTTTTTGTACTCTTTTTACCTTAGGAAGACAGTTTTGAGGATTTGCAAAGGATGTTCGCCGATATAGTCGGCGGAGATGGCATGAGCTTTGACGTTAACAACGATCCGACGGAGACAAAGAGGGCACGTGTCACTTCATCTAAAGGCAACGCAGCGAAACGGAGCAGTTCCCGCCGTTGACTTATCCTGCAACCCCCTCTTGTCTTACTAAACTTCTTTCATTACGGAATTGGTTTTAGGAGCAAAGTTAAGGACCATGGTGAAACTTGCAAAAATGTTGTCACTTATTTTATAGATTGTAATAAAATCTCTCAATTTCAAGATTTAATATAATAACTTTTTTATGTAATTTTTTACTTAATAAATATTTGAATATAATTTTGAAGCTTAATTTAGTGTTTTATTTAATTATGCGGTTAAACCTAACTCATGATGAATTATTTATTTGAATCATAAGATAAGTTTATATCCTAATTTAAATTAAAATGCCAAATTCAAATATCCACTTGAATAAAAAAAGTTCAAAACTTTAAAATTCAAGCTTGAATTCATTTACTTGACAGACTACAATTTAAGTATTTAATTAAATCGTAAAATCAATTGGAAGGATGAAACCACATATTTACCTTTAAATAATAAATGCAATTGAATGAACGGGAGGCTCGTGTTCATATGAGGGGGAGAATTGGTCCATTGGAGTGGGTGGTGAGTTGAGAGAAGGTTCTAGGTTCTTAGGATGTTAAAAGATGAAATAATATATTTTTGGTGGTGTGTTTTCGTCTCTTTTTGCTTTATTTATTAACTTCTTGCTAGGTACGCATATGATGAGTGGACTATAAAAGTTGCTAATCTTTGCCACTTGCATTGCAGGGACGCTAGGGTGTTCAGATTTAATTTGATCTAAAAAAATAACTGATAATTAATTAAAAAATAGATGATAATTAATTAAAAAATAGATAATTGAAAAAAAATCGAAATCGATTTAGTGTGTTTGATTTTTTTTTTAAAATTGATCGATTCAGTTTCGGTTTGAAAATTCGGAATTGATTCAAATCAAACCGAACCGATAGTCTCTTACAGTGAATGTAAGATGAAAAATATTGGTTCCATATAAAAACTACTGTAGAAATATTAATGTGAGTAAAATTTATAGGCTTGCATTTATTAAAATATATATTCTCTTTGTACGCTTCACAAGCTTGCATTTGTTAAAATATATATTCTATTTGCTTTTGTAATATATATGTTGCTTTTTTATAAAAAAATTCAAGAATTATTTTGAAAAATTAGAATAAAAAAATCGCTCAAATCCAAACCGAATCAAGCCGCACTTAATTGGATCGAATCGGATTGAATTTTTTTAAAAAACATCCAAACCGCAAACATTTATACTTTCGGATCGAATGAATTTTTAACTAAAAACCAATCCAAACCGACCGCGAACACCGCTAATGGACGCTGTTATTTTCCTTGATCACTATGGTGATAGAGATGTTTGAATTTCTCATATTTAGATTTGAGTCGAACAAAATCCAACTTATAGTGTGTTTGCTTTCCCGTAATTGGTTTTTCGAAAAATATTTTTTTTCATTTTTTTATATTTAGTTGGCAGAAAACAAATGATCAATGTAATTCATTTTCCTGGTCAACTGAATTTATTTTGTACTTTTTTTAAAATGACTTACAATCTGATTTTTCGTAAGTCATTTTACGAACTTTTCACTTCAAAGCATAAACACTCAAAATGTTATTATTTCATATATTTAATATTAATATATTATTTTAGTGTCATTTTAATAAAATTATTAATTATTAAATTTTATTTATCTATACTTTTAATAATATAATATAATATTTTTATTGTTATAATTATATTATTATAGTATACAATGTAATACTTTTATTTTAATAATACATAATAAATTATTAATAAATTTAACTGTATTTAATAATTTCATTAAAATAATATTATATAATTATTGAATATTTAAAATATACTGTTTAAAATATAATATAATATTTTTTATTTTCATACTATAAATTTTAATATTTTAATAATATTATTATTTTAATAAGTAATTAACATAATTAATAAAATATTATTCTTGTTTTAATACATAATTAATATAATTTATAATAATTTTATTTTAATAAATTATAATAATCTTAATATTTTTATTTATAAAATTATAGATAATATTTTAATAATAGTATTGACATAAATAATATTAAATAAATTATTCTAATATTTTATATTATTTATTGTATTTTATGTTTATAATAAATAATTTTTTAAATAAATTTATAACCTAGTGGAAAATGAATTACACAACATCATTCAAACTTTGTAAAATGATTTATAGAAAAATATTTTCTAAGAAATGTAATTAATTTTACTAAATCTATTTTTTGCATGGTTATCAAAATCGGACCATCTGTTTCAACCGGTTGAATCGAGAATCGATAACCTATCCGGTCCGGTTACCTCACAAAACCGGGTTGGCAATGAACCGGCTGAAAACCGGTAAAACCAGTTTGAACCACCAGTTCACTTTTTTTCTTTAAAAAAAAATTAAACCAAACGACATCGTTTGTTCAATGAGCCAAGTCAAATTCGAGTATTGTTGAGCTCGACTCGAACTCAAAAACTTTAAAAGTAAGCTCAACTCGACTCAAAAACTCACGAGCTAAAAATTATCAAGTTCAACTCGAACTCGAAATATAATATTAAAACTTGAACTCAAAAAGACTCGAACTCAAAAAAATTTAGAAGTTCGATTGAAGCCTAAAATTTGAGCTCAATTGAAGTGAAAGAATAGTTCGGTCTGTGCTCACCAAAAGGCTCCATGATTTTGAATGTCAAATTACCTCTATTATTTATAGAAGTAAGTTGGGATGCTCTTCTATGTTTCTTAGCCATGTGAGATTGTTTTGTTATCATATTATTACTCTTTAAACTTTTGTGATACTCTTTTATGTTTCTTAGCCATGTGAGATTATTTTTTTTAAAAATTAAACCAAATGACATCATTTGTTATGATTTTTTAAGCTCTAATTTTATTTTTTTGATTATAGTTATATAATTATATTTATTATTTAATATGTTTTACCTTAAATATTATGTTGTAGTTGATTTGAATTATTTTGTTTCACTTGATTTTATGATTTTTAATTTATATATATTATAACTTGTGATATTTTTATACCTTTTAATATTGTAAACTTAAAAAAAATGTTACATATATATTAATATTGCTTTGAATATTATGTAAAATTAAAAAAAATATTATTTTATATAAAATTCGGTTCAACTGCGGTTGAACCCGGTTGAACCAGTGAACCAGGTTGAACCAGTGAACCAATACCTTCACCGATTCAATGTCCAGTCCAATTTTAAAAACATTGATTTTCTGTGAAACAAACATACCCTTAAAAATTATCTGTCCTATTAATAAAAAAATATTTGCCCAATTCAAATTCAAAAAATAAGAGAACGTAATTATTCCAATTGTTCTTTGATATCAGGGATAAGTTTATATTGAATGACGTATATCGATATGTACCATAAACGTAACATACCAATATAAATCCTTAAAAATTGTTTTTATTAAAGATAAAAGATTTTAAGGACCCATCGTTCGATACTCTCTTATAAAAATTTAATTATAATTCTAATAAATTTTCACTTAATTCGTGTATCTTTTTATTATAAAATATATTAAATTCATTACTTTAATTTAAATCAACAGTATACATTTTGTTCATCTTCTATAGTCCCATTGTTGATGACCTATTATTCGTTGAAAGTTTATTATTTTATTAATCCGATTTCATAACTATTTGAGTTGTATTTTGAGAATTAATTATCTGTTCACATTATGTTATTGAACGAGTGTACAACTTTTTTAGTTTTACACATTGTCTTTATTTTCTTGCTTACCTTCTTAAGCTTCAATCCATTCCTAATCTTCATGATTTACATATATTGCTAAGACTCTTGTCTTTATTTTTGGTATGAGGAAAATGGTGAGAAAATCAACCAAGTTCAAAAAGGAGGGTGCTTGATAGAAAAATGAGCTTCATTTTGGGTTTCTAAATCCAAGGTAGTGTATTTCTAATCATTTGGAGTATTAAGGTTTCATAAATATATGTTTTTGCTAAGATTTGAGTATTTTAGGGTTCATATTTGATTTCTCAACCAAATCACGTTTTAGGTGTTAATAATATGTGTAAATGATGCCTTAACACCCTAAATAACTTACTAAAGCTTTTGAATATGTTTAGAAACCAACCCATGTCATTTGGGTGATTCTTGAGTGATTCCCGAGCTTAAGCAAGTCATTCCTAGAAAAAGGATCGATCTCTCAACCAAAGGGATCGATCCCAAAGTTTATGTCCAGCAAATGATTGATCCCTTTTCAAAAGGATCAATCCATTGGAGAAAAGAATCGATCTCTTCTCTGTTTTGCTCGATTCAAAATGATGGATTTGCATTCATTAAAGGTCCTAAGTGTTGTTGAATGTTCTTTTGATCCGTTTAAGTTCTGTGAGATCTAAGGACGATCCATAACAGTAAAACTTAGTCCGTGAGGGACATAAATGACCAAGCATACCTAAAAACACTCGTAGGAGTAGGTTATATCAGTTGTAACCATATTAAGAGTAATACACTAAAGTATCTTCAATCAACGACATATACGGATAATTGGGATTGAAAATCGTTACAAGAGATATTCGATAAGTGGTACGGTGAATATGTCAGATTCAGTACTGACAAAAAAAGTATGGGGCTTTGAGAACGTCATTGAACTGGGAATGGATAAGTCATTCTATTACTTCAAGGGTTTTGGGAGAAGTACGATAAGAGCTTTAGGAGTCTTGTTACCCTAGTAATGAACCTGGGTTAGGTATCAGGCTAACTAGTGTTTTAGTTAGTGAACAACAAACATAATCGACAGAAAATCGGGAAACGCTTTGAGATCTCTTTGAAGTTAGAGATGACTAAAATACACTTTAAGTTCTAATTAACCTTTCCTTAACGTCCTAGGTGAGAGGACGTGCGAGATAGTTCAGGTGAGAGGAAATAGCCTCACCTGACTTCAGCAAGATCAATAACGAGTAACTGAGCTACTTTGATTTCCTTAGAGGGACATCCGCTAATGTGTGTTAAGATGTTAGCTTTAGAGAACGACTTATAATAATAACGAGATAATAATAATTGTGTGATAACCATAAGAGCCTTATGAGGTAAGATTCCATAAGACTTACGCCCTTGTGTGCAGCTCGAGAAACTGTGAGGATGTCCGAGTTACTTTAGCAGTAGGACGGTCGTCTTGTGTGCATAGAATA